GCTCTAGAATATAACAAGATCTTACTATAAAATGGAGGTAAGTATTATTCACGTATATAAAGTAGTAAGTATATAAAATAAGTAAGAATAAAATACTGGTAATTTTCCACTGATATTAAAATAGTTGAAATGCACAATGGACTTGGAGGATAATAAAAGCTATAAGYAGAAGCTCCTGATAGTTTCCATAGTGTAYATATTCAGAACAGACAAGACATTAATGGTTTCAACTTTTCACAAGTTAAGTCCAGGTTCCTTAAAAAGCTGAATATAGAATTATGTCAGGAGCTGCTCTAGAAATACACACCCCTAAGTCCTGAGCAAGAGAATAATTATCGCACCCTGCAATAAGTTGGGCTTTACCACTACTTGGAAAATGAGGAGTGGCTCCAAGAGTAGGTGTTATCTGGTRGGGTTGAGTTACACTCACCTGTTTCTTTGTAATCCTACCCCTTGCCTTTTTTTTCAGATAGAATGTTCTAAGAAATGGCATCCCCCAATAAAAGCCAACTCTGGAACGTGCACTCCCTCTCTCTTGTCAGCCTCTCCTGACTTTCTCTTGCCCCCCCCCCCAACTTGTGGGAGCCTGAAGCCAGAGCTGGGGAAGCCATCCTGAAGTTTATAAAAAGGTATTCCATGTCTGTGTGGTATATTGTGTTACGCCAAATTTATAAGAGTGACTTTGGTTCAAGTTGCCTGCACTAGACGGGGACAGCAGAATTATTGCATATGACCCATCAATTCTACTCTTAAGATATATACCCAAAGGAACTTAGAATAGATACTTATATGTTTATTATAACATTATTCACAATAGCCGTGAAACCATATAAGTGTCCATCAACAGACAGATGAATGAGTAATCAAAATATGGTATATACCTATGACAGAATATTATTCAGCCATAAAAAGGAATAAAGTTATGATACGTGCTACAACATGGATGGACATTGAAAACATTATACTAAGTAAAATAAACTCAACACAAAGGAATAAATATTGTATGATTCTACTTATTTACATGAAATATTTAAAATTGCTAAATTTTAGGGGATAGGAAAGGTAGCAGAATACAACAATTACTAATTGGGCATTATGTAAAATTGTGGATGTGTAACCGACGTGATTCTGCAATCTGCATTTGGGGTAAAATTGGGAGTTCATAACCCACTTCAATATAATGTATGAAATATGCTATGTCAAGAGCTTTGTAATGTTGTGAAYAACCAATAAAAAAAAATTCAGGAAAAAAAATTGTAAAAAAAATAAAATAAAATAAAATTGCTAAATTTATTGGACTGGAGTTGTGGCTCAGAGGTAGTACGCTCGCCAGGCACATGCGGTGTCCTGGGTTTGATCCCCAGCATCACATAAAAATAAATAAACGAAATAGAGATATTGTGTCCAACTACAGCTAAAAAATAAATATTAAAAATTGCTAAATTTATAGAGACAGAAAGTAGATTAGAGGTTTTCAGAGGATGGGCTGTTTAATAGATATGGTGTTTCTATATGGATTAACGGTGAAGGTTTAGAAATAATGGTGATGGCTGAAAAACATTATTGTTGTACTTAATGCTACTGAACTATACACTTAAAAATAATTAGAATGGCAAATTTTGTTTGCCATTTAGGTAAGCAAGATTTGAATCTAGGTTGTACCATGTATTATTATCTGTTTGATGTTGAACAATTCCCTGTGTCTCACTCACTGTCTTATTTTTTCCCCCACACAACAAGAATTAACTTAAAAAAAAAGTTAACTATATCATAAGGTTGAGGATTAAATGACCTAATATTTATAAATAGGCATYATGTAACTGCATATTAAATAAAACAGGCTTCAGAGCTAAGTAGCTAAGTGGAAGAGTAAAAAYAATACTTAAGTGTTCAGTAAGAGTTCAGCAAACATCAGCAATTACTATGAACTGAATTATATGAAGAAAATGACAGGCTGATARTGTTATAAATATGAGTATTTTCAGTAGTCCATATACATGCACACCTATGTTCTTTTAGAATACCAAAGTGTAACTAYATAATTTGTAATAATCAATGTTTCATATAATTAAATTTAACCTATACTAGGCATATTTATCCTGTATAATAAATGATATATAAATTTATTTCAGCTTTCCAAGATATAATAAAGTGAAACCAATATAGTTAATGACTGAATACTTAACAGAAAATATACTATATGTGATCTTTGAATACTATTTCCCGTTTTTCTGTAGTGATCTAGGCAAATAATGAAACTTTCAGGATAAAAAATATATACCATAGCTTCCAAATTCATAGYTCATAATTTATTTCATACCACATATATCTACACCTGCTTTTATGTAATTAAATTTGAAAATTTGGTTAGTTGTACTCATAAATCTGTCTAAATGCATTTTCTTTGCTTAAAAAGATTTCAGTTACTTACCAAATTTTCTCTTTCAATCCTTTGTTGTTCCTTCTGTCTATTGAGAGCACTATGATATAACTTAGGGGGATGACCAATTGATCTTCTGGGAATTGCACTTTTGCTTCYGGGCTTCTCAGCCTGCCTTGACAGTTCTTTCAAAAGCCTCTGATTTTCCMGATCAATTTTTCGCACCTCTTCTCTTGTGAAAGAGTAGTTTTTTCTAGGTACTACTGAAGGCTGATCAAAGTGATGTTTTTGAGGTACCTTTTTATMTAACTGCAGAAAAGCTACAGAAATGAACAAAAAAAGGCAAAATAGTTAACAAAGTAGCTATGATGGTAATAGGCTTTGACCTTTAAAAATATAAATCATTAATTCATGAAAACATGTAGATGACTTCTCAGACTGCAGCTGTATAGAAACAAAATTTAGAGGTAACTTATAATTTTACACTGAGTTCTTTGGCCATAAAAGTTACACACAAAACAACATAAATACATATACATGGTAATGGTTTATAGGATGTATCATTTATGGAAAGTGCTTTCTTCATATGTATTTATGTTTCCCTATGGCAGTTTAATAGTTGCTGAGTTCATAAACCTTTGGGTTGAGTGCACAAATATAATCATTTCTTAGCTGTGGCTTTTGTTAGTTGGAGCACATACTTGAAAAAATGTCCTGAGCAAAGACTGAGGGAAACAATGTCAAAAACAAACTCAGAATATTCTGAAACTATCACTGTAACCTGAAAATACTGTACTACAAAATATTTATGGATCTTAGTATTGTCATTAAAATAAATACTTATGTAAAGAACATACATCTCATCCATTATCAAACATAAGCCAAAATGATTAATTATATAAAAAGTGCTTTTAACTAAGAAAATATATCCTATGATTATCAAATAAACTTTTATCAACATTCTTAAGTTTTTAAAATTTCCATAACATAAAATGTCACTAGACACAATTATTAACTGCTTGTAAAAAGCTAAAAATATGGAGCTTGCTGAATGTTTCCAGTTTACTATGTATTTAAATGGTAATATTCTATATTGGATTAATAGACAGGAATATTTGTCTTTGTTTTTTATTATAATATATTTTTTAAAATAACCATTATTTGTTTTTACTTGACTATTTTTGTTATTTATTTTTCATGACTGGCATTGTACTATTAAAGTTCAGTGCTAAAAGGTAAAAGGTATTTTTACTCTCTATTAAAAAATGAGCATGGTGCAGAAAAGTTAAATCATTTAGGCAAAGTCACAAAAACAGTAATTCTATCTCCATTCCTAGGTTTAAATCTTAAAAGAGAAGACCATGAAATAGTATAGAAAATTTCAAAACAATGATTAGGGCTGGTAATGTAGCTCAGTGGTAGTACACTCGCCTGACATGCAATGAGGCCCTGGGTTGGATCTCCAATACCTCCAAAAACAACAAAAAAATCCCAGTGGCTTCCTGAGAGGAAAAATAAGGAAATTAACGGTTGGTAATTTGTTGAAAACCACAGCAATTGGCAAAACCTGAATGAGAACACATTTAGAAAGATATAAATGTGCTTTACATTTTAAATTATCTTGCTTCTAAGAAATACCTATCTTATAGAATTCAAAAGGTTTCTAGATTAATTTAGCTACATATAGAACTCATTAAGATTAAATTCTAAAAGAAATTAAAGCTATATTTCCTAATTACCAAAATAGTTTTTAAAAATAAAGAAGGCAATAAGTGGAAAACAAATTAAAGCTATTTAATCTAATTGTTTTTTAAAAAACAGCATTCTAGCTCTTCCAGATGGAAAACTATATGAAGTGCTTATATACTGACAGCAGGTATTATTACAATATTTTTCTAAAGTAGCTATATGCTTTACTGTATATTTTAGTATAATGTTGGATGCTTTTCATGCTTTGAAACCTCAAATACAGATCCACTCTTTTTCCAATTAAGATCTAAAAAATGTTTAATATGATTAAACTTTCAGGGATACAGATATATTTACATAAGTATGTATATTTAAACTTATATATTTAAAAATACTATTTTTCTCTAATTTTCCTTAGTAAAATAATTCTAAACTCTTCACATGAATTTCAACCATCATCACCAGAGTCACTTCTGGAGTTACCTGACATCATTTACTAGAGTATCAGATTTATTTTCATCTAAGCTATTTGAGTCAGCTTTTTAAAATTTTATATGTGATGCTATAATTGGACATTTTATTCTAAAAATAAGGTTTTATTCATATATTAGTTCTTTTAAAATATTCATCCTGTAGTAATATTCATGATCTCTATTTAAAAAAAGAGAATTTCCTTTTAAAATTGATGTTTAAAAGATTATTTAAAAAAAATCTAACACATGTTTAACAAAGGCCATGATTTAAGGAATAATAATTTACTAAACTTGCCTTCTTTATTAATTACTAGATAGGTGAAAAATTCTTGACATTCTTCACATCATTTCTTCTAAATATGGGCAGGCTTGTAACTGCTCTAATCAATAGGGGTACAGCCAAAATGATTTTCAAGTCTGGGTGATAAAAGGAGATGCAGTCCATTCCCTCACATGTTTGCTAAAATGTGTGCTTGGCTCCCTGGGCCATCCAACATGTCTGATTGCCTTGATGCTGCCATTGTATAAGGAAGCCAAATTACATAAAGAGGCCATGTGTAGGCACTTTGTAATCCTAGTCTGAGTTATCTAAGGCTGCTGCTTTACACAACCAAGTTTTGTGGTGCTCTTGTTAACAAGCAACAGTAATACAAAATCTGGTACCAGGAAGCCGAGGGCTATTACGACAAAACCTAAAATACACGGTACTAGCTTTGTGTCAAGTAGAGCTGTAAAGACCTGGAATGAATTGTTGAAGTCTGAGAGACGCAATGGCAGATTGTTTAGCAATACTGTTGGCTATGGTGTTATGGAAAATGGAAAAAATTTCTTCTGCACTGATGGATTTTGCTAAGCAGATCTCCAAGCAGAATGCTGAAAGTACATTCTGGTTTATTTTATTTTTTATGTTATTTTTTAGTTGTAGTTAGACACAATACCTTTATTTCAATGTGGTGCTGAAGATTGAACCCAGGGCCTCACGTGTGCTATGCAAGTGCTCTACCACTGAGCCACAACCCCAGCCCCCATTCTGGTTTATTTATCCACAATAAGAATCCATAGGATATACAAAGATAAGCTTTAAAAAAAAAACTGGTCAGTTTTCATGCAAATTATAAAAGAGCCAAGACTTACAGGATTCAGAATAAAACCACTTCTCATCTGTCATCTCTCCCAGAAAGATTCTCAAAGTATTCGAAGACCTGTAGCTGAGGAATCTCAGTAGTACTTGGACTTGTAGGTAAAAGATTTAGAAACTCTGGGGTATATTTGGACAGGAATATATTTTCACATATGGAAGGAACATAAATAAATGTGTGGCTAGAAATAGTATCTCAGAGATTTTCTCAATTATTTGACATTCCTCCCATTAAGAGGAAGGGTCTATGTCTGTCCACTTTAAATCTAGAAGAGTTTCTGGCCATTTCAACCAACAGAGTATCAAAGAAATGATGCTATGTGACTTCAGAGATTAGGTCATAAAAAGTAATGAGATTTCTGTCTTGTTTCCTGGGTACATTTGTGCTTGGAACCTTGTTCAGTTACCAGCAGTCCCAGTTTTCTGGTGGTCCCAAGCCTAGGCACCTGATATGTGAGTAAATAAGCACCCAGATTATAGTCCACAGTCATTGGGTTGCCTCTACTTTTAAGTGTCTCTATCCTTTAAGAGACAGGGAATTTATGTTGTAGCAATAGTAACTGATGATTTTTATCACTTAAAAAAATTGTGTGACAAAATGCCTGTGGGACAAGTGTAGTCCACAAGCAGTTAATTATTTTATATGTTCTAATTGATTAAATAGTGTTCCTTGGGGGTTGAGACTTCACTGATTTTATTGTTTTCAAACTTTTTGGTGTATTTACTAACATAAAACACCCTCCTTTATCCCTTTTAGTATTTTGCATATCTTGAATTCCATTTTGTATACTAATAGGATTGATACTTCTATTTTCTCATTTTAAAAGGAGATAAACGTAGCACATCTTTTTCAAACCTTTACTTTCATTCTCCCTAAACTATTTTTAAATATCTTTTTAGGTTGGATTTTTTCCCCTCCCAAATCAATAGGTATTTATTAAACAACTAGAGTTAGCATAACAGAAATGGTATCAAAAGGGCTTGTTTACTACTRAAATTTTAAGACCCTTTCTGCCTATTAAAAGATTTAAGCAGCTCAAGGTCAAAGATCTAATTCTAGCCTGGCACAATGGTGGTGGTGCACAACTGTAATCCCAGCTACTTGGGCAGTCAGGCAGGAGGACCCCAAGTTCAAGGCAACTTATGGAGACCCTGTCTCAAAATTTAAAAAAGGAAAAAAGCTCTGGGACTGTACCTCAGTGGTTGARCACTTGCCTAGCATGCATAAAGTTCTGTGTTGATCCCCAGTACTGAAAAAAAAAAAAATCTCATTCCAAACACAAACTTTTTGAGACTTACATAGCAAAGGCAGGTTTAGGGTGGGGATGGAAAAATCCCCCAAGTCAGCCTTTCAAAAAAGAAAGCTGAATATTCAGAATTTCTACTGATATTTCAAGGTCTACTTTGAAGTCATATATCTAACAATGCCAGTCTACACTGATCTTCCCTCCTAATATTACTCACAGAACCCCAGAACTCTAAATTTTGAATGAAACCTACCAAACCTACATAGACTACCCTATCCTACAAATGAAGAATCTGGGGTTCAGAACAGTAATTGGTTTGTTTATAGACATGTTGATAACCCAAAGAAGCCTGATTTTCTGATTCTATGTACAGAATTTTCTCCACCTTGCTATAAAAGTACCCAATTCAACACTGTTTCATTATTCCATGGTCTTAATGGGATATTTGGTTTTATATCATTTTATTAATGTTTGTTTTACTATTATGGAATCTGAATTTATATTTAATAAATAAAATTTATTTTAAACTAATACATGTGAACAATGTTAGCTAGGCATTCCTCACTTTTTTAACTCTTGCTCAATTTCTGTTATAAAAACTTGTAAAACATTTTACTCAAAATTCACTACTGGAATCAATAAACTGTTTTAATGCATCTTTGTATTTAAGCCAGTAAAAATGTTTAAATTGAAAATGTAGAGCTTATGCTGCTCAATTATTTTGATAGGATTGTTTGTTGTGCTAAAAATTTTTAGAAATGTGTTATACATTATCACTTCATCTTCCCCATATTAAGAGGATTTATCTTCCAAGAAAGTGAAAAACACTGTAAAAAAATTATGTGAGCCAAAGAGGCCTAGAAAATCCTATTAGTAGAAGTTTAAAAGTGATAAAAAGTGTATTGCGTGAGATAAGTGCAGAAAAGTCATGAGCCTGGACGTGCCTCCATCTACCATACCATGGTTTAATTATATGGGGAAAAGAAAAAAAAATTATGAAAATATTCTTGGATCTACAAAGTGTCACTGTGAATTGGAGCATGAATAATGATTTTGAAAATCTTAAGACTTACCTTGCAATGGACTGATATTCATAATTAGTGTTTAAAATGCTGTATTATAAAGAATACTTGGTGGATTGTCATATTATGAATTCCAACAACAAATGTACCAATTGGCAAAATGCCACCTTTGTTCCAGTGCCTTCAAAAGCCCTGAGCACCACTAACTGACAAGTCTATCAAGAGCGGAGATTTTTACTGTGCAGCAAGCAGTATGAATGAAACTTGCTGCTACATTTCAGCTCAGCCTCTATGTTGAAAAGATTCTATGGTATTTTGATTTAATTAAAATTGGGAAAACTTCAGAAATTTAGGATGGGATCATTATTTTTTCCATTTAGAACTATTATATAGGTTCACTATATCCAGAAATGGGTTAGAAAAGAATAGTTAAGAGATGGCTGTATTTATCTTATTTCATTTTATCTTTTAATATATTTTAGTTGTCAATGGATCTTTTATTTAATTAATTAATTTATTTATGTGTGGTGCTGAGGATCAAACCCAGGGCCTCACACATGCCAGGCAAGCACTCTACCACTGAGCCATCCCTCCAGCCCCCCTGTATTTATTTCTAAACAGAACCAAACAGTAGTGTCATGATATCCACAGGATGGTCCTTGGATCAGCAGAATTAGTATTACCATTAGGCACTGGTTAGAAATGTAGCTTTGGCTTTACCTTAGTTTTACTGAACAAAAATCTGCATTTTAACATCCCAGGGTGGCCTATATACTATTAAAGTTTGGAAGCTTGTGTAGACAAAGTTGATTGCCCAATTAACATAAATTCCTACTTTTCCCTTAATAGATGCTGGCTTCCCCACAACTTCCACCTCTAACTCCAGGGCGAGTCTGATTGGCCAGGGATAATCGCACTTCCTTTGCCAATTACTGGTTCAGGAACAGGAGTGTAAGCTAATTAAGCTAATTCTAGCTGATGAGACTTAAATGGAAGTGGGCTGGAGATTATTTTTTTAAAGTTTCCTCCATTCCAAGAAAGTGAAAGGAAGAGATAATTTCTCTTTTTCTGGATAATGTCAATGTGTGCAGATGAATACTGAAAACTGCTTCAGATTATCTCCTAGAAGCCCAAGAATGAAGATATTACCAGGGCTGGAGGAAGAAAGTGGTAGGCATTTTGAGTTTGTAAGGCACTAAAATAAAGTTAGTGTGAAGCTTCTAGTCTTAGCTCATTACCTTTGCAATGTTTCTTTTCTGATAACACAAATAATAYTCTAGATATTTTCATGATGGTATATTTGGTAGAGTTACTCATGTATCAATCATTTCAAACAACAGRAGATATCTAGTCAAAAAATCAGTGTAAATTCACAGCATTCAATATTAATAATAATTAATATTTAATGTACAAATTTTAAAGAGCAAAGAAAATTACCTTTTAAGAGATGATTCAGATCCATTGTGTCATGTAAGACTTTCTGTTTATACCTATGATCTAAATCAGAATCCGGTGAATTTGGGGTGAGATTAGGTCCACATTTTTCTTTCCCTTTCCTGGCTGTTTTCAAATGTTTTGAATCATTTTTTAAAACCTCAACATCTTCATCTACCTCTTGACTCACATTTTCTTGCCTTTTAACTTTTATTTTTTGGTCATTTGATGCACCCAATTCAAAAGACTGAATAGGGCTAATGTCTGGAGTTGATAAAGGAGTTACATCTGTCACAGTATCTTCAGATTCCTCTGGAGAGTCATTGATTTTTGGCTTAGTACTTGAATAGGGTTGTGCTCCTGCTGATTTTATTCTTGACTTATATTTCTGTTTTGGTGATAAGAGGGTTACACCAGATATAGGTTTCCTTGATGATGGACGCGAATGAGATTTACAGATGTCTGATTCTGCATCTGAACAGTCTGTACCTGAACTTGAAGATGAGGAAGACAAAGAAGAGGAAGAGGAACTAACTTTGGAATACTTTTTGCTCATGCTTTTTTTGAAGTTATTAGATGCTTTAGCTGACCTGGACTTTACATGATGTTTTTTCCCATCATCACTGCTTTCTTCTCCATCAGTATAGTAATCATCTTCACCTTCTTTTACAATTTTGGGAATTCTACTTGGAATGGGCAAGTGTATTTTATGACCTGTTGCAGCATCATACAATTTTTTTGATCCTGAAGAAGTGGTCAATGAAGAACTGGTTTGCAAAATATCATTCTTTACAAGATGTTCGTCTGAAAGAAGTTTTGCTTTTCTTTCATTTCCCTTCTCAGTAAGATAACATTTGTTTTGTATTCCAAATTTTAAGTTTATATTTCCTGTGCTCTTATCTATTCTCTCTTTAGGATCATAATTTTGCTTGTCCACAACTAAGTTACTTTCACATTTCTTTGCTGCTTCTTCAAAGTCACTGTCAAAGAAAGAATGGTCTACTTCACCTTCTGATATATCTTCAAACCGATCCATGATGGCAAAAATATATCTGAAAAAAAGAGTAAAGTGTAAAACATCAGACTAAACTTCCAAATATATATATATTTAATTTTATACAGTTGTTTTAGTCAGCTTTTTCATTGCAGTGACTAAAGGACCTAACAAGAACAATTTTAAAGAGGAAATGTTTATTCAAGGTCTCAGTTTCTGAGGTCTCAGTCCCTTCTTACTGAGGAATAAAAACATTAAAGGCACATACAAAGCTGACCAAGTAACTTGGAAGCTATGACATAATCACACATAGAAAATGAAAAGGGGAGAACATATCTGTCTCTGTTAAAGAGGGTTTGATATAAGAGATATTTCATAGTAGACAGTCAATGACTGTCTAAGAGAAAATTCAAGGCACATTATTTAGACACATGAAGTTAAATATTTGAAGAAATGGATTAAAATGTTCCACATAATTGCCTCCACCATAGGTCAGGGACCACTGTTTTTTGTTAGAAATCTTAAATTACTGTATAATATAACTATATTATACATATTATATATTATATATATGTACTACAATGATTCAAAATATTATTTTATACAATTGAAATGAAACTGGAAATGTCATTATAAAGTCATGGCCTTTAAAAAGTATTTATCTCTGTAATTAACAGTGGTCTAAGCAGCAGTGTCATATTATCTTTTACTGATAGTTCATTTTGATATTTAGTATTACTCTCCACTAAAAAATAAACAGGATTCTCTGGAAGGCAGCTGATTTTGTTGTTGGAGATTAAAAAAAAACAACAAACAAAAAAACCCAAAACACAGCATCTTATATAGTATCTTAACATGGCCAGAAAGTGTAATATTCAAATATGCCTTTGAGTAGTAGCAATGAAACAAAGGATCCAGTTTAAAGTTCTAAATTGTATAAACTAGACAATTTAGAACTATAAAACAAAAAATATTATGTAAAAATTTTTAAAATTTGTGGAAAGTCATGAGTTCATAATGATCAAAAGGAATAACATTCATTATGTTAAAGAAAAGGCACAAAAGGATTCTCAATAACAACATGTAGCCAATAATGCAATTACTTACTTATCACTATAACTGTGGTCTTTCATTAAGTGACCTTATAATATAAGAGAGGCTATAAAAACAAGTATAGACATAATTTAGAAATAAATCAAATTTCTATTAACAATAGTGTAGACAAAGTATGGTGATGCACACCTATAAACCCAGTAACTCCAGAAATTGAAGCAGGAAGATCACAAGTTTGAGACCAGTCTCAACAATTTAATGAAATTTTGTCTCAAAATATAAAAAAGGGCTGCTCAGTGGTAGAGCACTCCTGGGTTAAACTGTAAGGACCACCAACACCATCACCACTAATAATAATAATAATAGGTTAAGTGTGTGTGGTAGTATTTAACCACTGAATAACTTTGTTTCAAGATATTCTCATTACTTATAAAACTTTGTCAATTATCATTATTTTGTGTATAGGTGTAGTGTTGAGGGTCCTAGCCTTTAGACTTTAAAAATTTAACTATAATCCACTTTTAAATGCTTAACAGAATCAATTTAGTAAGTCTGGATTTTGAAGTTTTATAAACAAAGTCTCAGTGCTTAGGAAGATTTACTTAGATTTGTAAGTATATCTTGTTGTGTGTTTGGGATACTAAAGAAAATTAAATATAATAAAAAATTATGGTGGTAAGCAATTTTGCAAATGGTGTATAATGTTCAGGGAAAATATAATACAAAAGCTATTTATAATCAAAATATAAGTGAGTTTTAAAATTTTAACCCCAAACTAGATTTAAACAGAAACATGTTTAAGTACATATTAACATTTAAGAAACATAAGATAATAAAATTTATTTCTAATGAGCATTAAATACAAGATGTACTGTTTTCTACCACAGATTAATGTCTTCATTACATTTTGAAGTTCAAATTGACAGAGCCGATTCTGAAGGTACAGCTCAATGGTAGAGCACTTACCTAATCTTCACCAGGCTTGGGAATTCAATTTCCACCACTGAAAAAAATAAATAAACAAACTACAAGCCAAAACAACAGAGGGAAGCTTTTTCCCAAGCCCCCAAAAGAAAGATATCTAGTGAGGTTTTAGACATTATATTTATCCACATAGATATCAAAGTCTATTCTATAAAAACTCAAATTTATCTTTTAGGGTATGTCACAATTAATTTTCAGATCTATGAAAAATCCATATACTCTTTGAAATCAGTTACTTCATTTCTGGAAATTTATCTTAAGAATGTAATATTAAAAATAACTATCACTTGTGATACTTGAATAACTTGTATAGAGAAAAACTATGATTCCATCAAAATAATAATTAAGATCGGAAGTAAGCAAATTATTGTCCAGGACCACATGTGGCTTACCACTTGTTTTTTTTAAATTTTCCTTATTTTATTTTATTTTTTAAAATTTTTTATTTGTTTTAATTAGTTACATCTGTTTTTGTAAATAAAGTTTTACTGGAATACAGCCCCATTCATGTGTTTTGGTATTGTCTCTGAAAGGTTTCATACTATAATTGCAGAGCTGAGTAGTTGAGACACAGGCCCTATAACCCAAAAAATCAAAACATTTACTACCTGGCCCTTTACTGAAAAAGTTTATGAACTATCAGCATGGAAAAATACAGAATACATACAGAATACTTGTCACTTATACTGGATTAATAACACAATTTATACATTTAAATAAAAACTAGGAGATAAAAACAAATCAAGAGTTGATCTGTTAAAATAAAAATCACAATCCTACTGCATATTTTTATATTTCTGTCACTACACTAAATAGTGTTTGTGCAATAAATGATGAGTGGGAGTTTGCTCAGTGTTTGAAAAGAAATGAACTGAGACATACTGAGGCTTAAAACTTGGTTCTGACACTTTTGTATAATTTTGAGCAAATGTATAAAAGATATTTGTCATAACAATTGTAATAGCAATGAGTTAGAATCAATGTCAATGTCTCTGCTAAGAGGAAATGGATACATAAAATGTTGTACAAGCATTTGTAAATTGAGATCCTACAAAAATATTGATTAAAAAAAGCAGAATTAAGTGATCAACAATAAAAGTATGTAAAGCTTACCAAACAATGCTATATTCTCATTGACACAGACATAAAAAATGTTACATAGCACGAACTGGAAAGACATACAATAAAAATCCAAGAATATAAACTTATGAGGGGAAGGGAGGATTGAGCTTGTGTGGGGCTGTGTCACTATTGGCTATCACAAATCCTAAAGAATACGACTGACAATTATGATTGACTATTAACAATCTAATTCTCTCTACCCAAGGTCAAAAAGAATAGAGATATCTTAAGCATAAGGAGAGAGCAATCCTACTAAGTCATAATACAATTGTAAGTACATAATACAATAAATAAACTACAAGCCAAAACAAAAGAGGGAAGCTTTCTCTAAATGGTTTGCCTACACTTGAGTAAGTACATGTTTAGATAAACTTATTAATAGATATGTGACTATCTCACTGGGCACAATGGCCTATAATCCCATTGGCTCAGGAGGCTGAAGCAGGAGGATGGTAAGTTCAAAGCCAGCCTCAACAAAAGCAGGGCATTAAGCAACTCAGTGAGACCTTGTTTCTAAATAAAATACAAAATAGGGCTGGGGATGTGGCTGAGTGCTTGAATGCCTGAGTTTAATCCCTGGTACCCAACCTTCCAAAACAGACAAGTGACTATCTCAATGAATGTTTCTGCTTGACTCTACTGGGAAATATAAAAAGCTTGATACAAAAGCTTAATTTTTCCTAGTCACTGACTCCCCCATTCCTAGTTGTTTTTAAAAACATATTGTTCAGATCATTCCAACCCATATTCCTCAGAAAAACTTTCTAAATTTTAAAGAAATAAAATTACAAAGCATAAACATGTATCACTTGTATTAGTGCTATATGATATTCTATTACTATATGTAGTATAGTATTCTATTACTGTATGTAATATTTACTATATACAAGCAATGCAACCTCCTTAAGAGGTTTTATTATTCCCATTTACCAATGAGAAACTGAAGCAGAGCAAGAATTTGTCCAAAGTCACACAGCTAGTAAGGAGCGTAGCCAAGATTGTAAAGCAGGAATTTTTTAAAGATCATGTTATTTTTTAAATATCTTTTATTTCTTTTTATTTTTATGTGCTGAGGATCGAACCCAGGGCCTCATACATGTGAGGCAAGAGGCTCTACTACTGAGCCACAACCTCAGCCCCCAAGATCATGTTATTATCTACTGTTTTGTTCTGTTTCTTAGGACCATTGTTTGCTTCTATTATGTGAGAGTGGGCAACATTACAAGCCCCAGACTTTCCAACTTAATTTAAAGTCATTCTCCCATCCCAATTTGAGCTGTGACCAAAACCCCCTTTCCAAAGAGAAGAAAATGCATTCCAAAAATATTTCCAGCAAAGAGTGCTAATTCTGGAAGTCACTAATCTTAAAAACATTCTTAGAATGCCTCTTTTGGGTGTACAAAATAATAGAAGAATTTGTTACCAATCCCTGATAACTTTAAAGGATACCTATATAAAGTTTTTTTATGATGGTTTATGGCACATAGTAAATGTTGGGACTGATACTCTTCCTAACCCCTACCTGACAGCTCCCCAACAGTCCTGAAACTATTTTTACCTTCCCCTGTACTCCATGGCTACTTTTCATTCTTTTTAAAAACTGGTGTATTATAGTTGTATATATTGATGGAATTTACTGTTACATATTTCTACATGCACAAAATATAACAATATAATTTGGTCAATATCATTCCCCAGCATTTCCCCCCTCCTTCCCTTGGTTCCTTTTCCTCTACTGATCTCCTTTTGATTTTAAGGATGTCCACCCGCCATCTTTGTTTTCCTTTTTACTCTCTAGTTTCCACATGAGACAAAATATCCATTCTGAGTTTGACATAAATGAAATAATGCACTTAACATAATGGTCTCTAGTTTCATCCATTTCCTGCAAAGGGCCCATGGGCTAATTTTAGGTATTAGTTTGACTGGATTAAGGAATGAATAGAGAACTACTAGTAAAGCTCCCTACTAATCACCACCCTTACATTAAGAATGAAGAAACTAAGGCTTGGCAAATACAAGTGACTTGAGTAATTTAAATTTAACTTAAGAATAAAACATTTTGAATTTCAGGTTTTTGGAAAAGGGATGCCTAACCTGTAATAACTTAAATACAATGATGTAGGAAGGTGAAGAAGAAAGATGTGCAGAGGACCTCAGTTTAAAAAGTTTCAGGGTCAATTGAAAAAAGAGCTGGAAATCACCCAGCAGCAAACTATGACTTGACAACCAAAAAAAAAAAAAAAAAAATTATGTTCTTAAATCATACAGGTAAAGCAGCATACAGCCTAAAAAGTTTTTATGATGGTGTATGGCATGTAGTAAATGTTGGGGTTCACATTCTTCCTAAACCCCTACCCTGACAAGATTTTTACCTGCCCCTGTACCCCATAGCTAATATCAGGTGCATTATATTTTGCTTGGTCAACTAACTTCTTGAATGAAGCATTTAATTCTATGATAAATGGTAAAGAGTCTAAAATCTAAATCGTGATTAGAACAATGGCGAAGGGAGACGGTACTGCAGCATATACCTGTAATCCCAGCTACTCAGGAGGCTGAGGTAGGAGGATAGCAAGTTTGAGGCTAGCTTCAGTAACTAGCAAGATCACACCTCAAAATAAAAAGGGCTGGAAATGTAGCTCAGTGGTAAAGAACCCCTAGTTTCAAACCTCAGTATCCCCGCCCCCCAAAAAAAGAATGATTAAGGGAAAGCTGATACTTTCATTTCAGGACTGTGATATTAAAAAAGATTTGTAGTTCCAGAGGAAGAACTTAAATCAACAGATGACATACACAACGAAGCTGTTCTGAGCTTAGTATAAGAACTGCTCAAAAATAGAATGAGTACTTTCTTCAATTATGAATCCTGAGTCATTAAAAAGAGTGGATGACCACTTGCTGGGATGCTGCAAAGACAATGAACATGTAGGGAGAACAGTATTTTTCCCATCTTCAAACTAGTTCTAAATCCCAAAGTCTCTCCACAGCCAATGGACTACAGATACACCTTTGATATCTCTGTCACATAGCCAACAGTTTCCTATCTTGCTTGTGAAGGGTCTCAGAATATACCACCCCAAAACATGCCTTTAGCATAAGGATCATTTTGAGGTAAAGACAACTGAGAATTAACAGATGTAGAAACAACTCCCAGAACTTCCCTTATCTGACTAAAATCAGAAACTTTCAGATAATGAGGACAGCCATAAAATTCCCCTCTCCCAAGAAAGGTATTTGATCATGAAAAAGAAAGATGGCACTGAGAGGGACCTGCACAAATAGATCCTGCTAGATAGAGTCCTTATCTTCCATTCATTCTCCCTTATAGTCCCTAGAGACCTATAAAACCTTTTTCTGTGTCATTGTGTTTCCACAATGTATTATTCTTTGTTAAGAATGGTACATATACTCTTAAACCTATCCACTTCTTCAGGTCTTCACTTCTTTTCTAGAAAAGTCCTGTGTCATGACAAAAATTAATGTCAAATACAATTTGGTAGCTTTTCTCCTGTTGATCTGTCTTGTCAACTTAATTTCCAGAGCTACAGCTGCAGAATCTAAGAGACTAGAGGAAGAGATCCTCCCTACACCCCCAATCTCCTACTTTGTCCCCTTACCAGACTGGTTAGAGCTGGCATGCTTATAGTCCCAGCTACTATAGGAGGCTAGGATTGGACTAGAGTCCTGGAGTTATACACCAGCCTTGAAACACAGACCATCTCCATTTAAAAAAAAAAAAAATCCATTCCCTTACCAGATAGGAAGCTTCTGATGTCTTGCTCATCTTTACATTCCCAATGTCTAAGGAGGACCTAACAAATATGAGTCATTTAAAGAATATTTGTCCATGAAGGAGTTTGGAGTTAAGATACTTAAGATTGAGCTGTGATTCTTCTGCTCTTTGCTAGCCATAGCAGGCAGAAAAAAGTTTTCAACCTAGCTTCCTGCACTTTCCTTCACTCCCTCCAGATACATAAATCAGAACTATCCCATCTGCATTTCCAGTAACACAGTCCCCAACAGTTTTATAAGTCATCTGCTTTCCTAAATGGTCACAATTCATGAGGGAATTTTTTTTTTGGTTTACATTCAGATCCATAATATCTAACAGGGTTATAGGAAGAATTTAAATACTCATCATTTAACTTACTTTATAGGAAAATTTATCCAACAATCTGATCCACGAAGTGATTCTTTTGCTATTGTTTACTTCACAGTTAACAGGATCCACAGTCAGGCAGGTGGTGCATGCCTATAATAAGGAGGCTGAGGCAGAAGGACCGCCAAGTTCGGGGCCTCAGCAACTTAGCGAATGCCTCAGCAACCTAGCGAAGCTCTAAGCAACTCAGCCTTGTCTCAAAATAAATAAAATAAAATAAAAGGGTTGGGATGTAGTTCTGCAGTACAGCACCAAATGGTGCCTTCATAAAGTAGTTTAGATTCTCTTTATAAGATATCGGGAAAAGGGTAAAATTATGTAATCGTTTATCACAAAATAATAATAACCCTTTGTTACTCAAGACAGGATTTTGCCAAAGCTGCCTGGGAGTCACTGGGACCCTCACAATTTGCAAAGCTCATGCGGAGCTAYCAACAAAAATACTGGTGCTTTGACAACACATCAGGAAATACATACACACACATACACACACAAATATAGTATTATTTAAATGTCATTTTGTTCATGTGACATTACATTCTTGCAGCTATGTAACAGGGCCCCAAGAACATACCCAATACACAAAAATCTGAGCCCAAAGTAAACGTTTCCCAGGTACTTGAAGCTCCATTCACCACCCCTCACGACCTCTTGTCAAAGAGGTAACCGAAGACAGTCTCAGGCCTTAGCGTGAAGACGGGCAGCAGCCGTCAGAGCCCAAGTACCGGTCGCAACCACATTCCAATTCAGAGAGGACCCTGACCCGAGCCACCTCGAACGCATCTTGAGGGTAGGACCGCCGTTCCCACCGGGGCGGGTAGGAGTGCGGGCGGTCCCACCGACACAGGCTTGGGAGCCCTTGTTGTGGTTACACCCGCCGCTCCGGGGGCTGGCCAAGCCGAGGTAGCGGAGCAGAGGGCCTAGGGGCTCCGGCGGGCCCGCCTTCCAACCTCCCGCCTAGGCTTGCAGGCACTCACCCGAGTGCTCGCCGCCGCCTGGGCGCTGGAGACGGGAAACGGATCCCGAACCGCGGGGAAGGTGGCGGGCGCGCCCGGGGGAGCGACAAAAGGGGAGCTCGCGCTATGCTCACCTGGGAGCCGCCGCTATTACAGTCTCTCACGCGGCGCCGGGGCGCTCGGGACCCCACTCGCTCACTGGAATTTACGCATGCACGCTCGCGCTAGCGCGCTCCCGCGACCCCTGCTCGCGGCCCCGGCGGCGCGCGCTTCCGGAACGGGAGGGAGCGGAAGGAGAAAGGGGGACCGGGAGGGAGCCGCGGCTCTGCGGAAGGTAGCGGAGCTCGACGCGCGGTGCCGCGCGACACCTCGCGGAGGCGTCACAGAACGCGGCGGAGGGTCCGCGGTGCGCCCGGGTCTCGCGAGGGGAAAAGAAATCCTTCCAGGCCTCTGCTGCCCAGGGGATCCTGGATGTGTTACTWCCTCCACCACCTTTTAACGCAGAGCGGGTAGGTCACGTTATCGGGGATAATTTAACAGCAAAAGCTGTTTTGGTTATCTTGTAATTCTGTACCAAAAAGACCAGAATAAAAACGGAGGACCACGGTTTCTCTAAACGTATTTTATRACAGTAAATGGTTCTGTGCACCAATGGCTGGTAACACATTCAAAGTCCACTTCCTCCTGGTAAAGGAAGTGTAGTTAAAACAATCTGAAAAGTCGTCTCTGCAAAATATATGAAATGCCTTAATTTCTCGTTGAACTCTAAGGCGCATGATAGGTATGGTGGAATAATGGCACCCATAATATGCCCACCTCCTAGAACATGCCTAGAACACGTAAGTAAATGGGGATTTTGCTGATGTGATTAAGGATCAAAATGGGACTACAAACCTGGATTATCTATCTAATGGGCCCAGAGTAAATCCAAGGACCCTCACAAGAGTGGAGGCAGGAAGTTCAGTAGGAGGAGCTGTGGAAGAGACCTTGAGCTGAAGAATGCAGACCAACTGAAAAAAARGAAAAAATGGATGCCCACCTGAAGAAGGAATGCATACCTGCTGATACCTTGATTTTAAACTTCTGGCCTCCAGAACCATAAGCCAATAAATTTGTGTTGTTTTACTTTAAGTTTGAGTAAACAACAAGAAGACTCTAAACAGTAGATATTTTAAAAATATTTACATGAAAGTTCAACGGAAGGAAATACATATTTAACCATATCCTCGTGAATCCAAGAATGAAACACTTGATGTTAAAGCTAAACACAGAAGAACAAATATAATTCTGTTTGTATGAGGAAGTCACATTCATAAACAGAAAGCAGAATAATAGGACCCTAGGGTTTCTGGGGAGAAGGAAATAGGAAGTTGTTTGATGTATTTGGGTTGTTAAAATTAAGTTCTGGGCCCGGCTGGTGGTGCACACCTGTAATCACAGCAGCTGGGGAGGCTAAGGCAGTAGGATCCCAAGTTCAAAGCCAGCTTCAGCAACAGCCAGGCGCTGAACAACTCAGTGAGACCCTGTCTCTAAAATACAAAACAGGGCTGGGTATGTGGCTCAGTGGTTGAAAGCCCCTGAGTTTAATCCCTGGTACTAAAAAAAGAAAATTCTGGGCTGGGACTGTGGCTCAGKGGTAGAGTGCCCGGGTTCCATTCTCTGCACCACATAAAAATAAAGGTATTGTGTCCAYCTACACCTAAAAAGTAAATATTTAAAAAAAAATTCTGGAGAATGGATAATGGTATAGTTGCATAACAACATGAAAAGTGTTGAATTATACATTAAAAATTGTTAAAATGGTAAATTTTATGTTTTGTATATTTTACCACAATAAAAAAAATCACATTTTAAAGTTTTATACCTTAAAGTATTTTTGACTCTCTTTTGGGRCTTTGAGTTTGTAAATTTTGTCGTTTCTGTTGTCTTAGGCATTCAGGCTACTATAACAAAATTCCATAGACATGGTGACTTRTGAACAATTAACATTTTTTTACAGTTCAGGAGACTAGAAAGTTCTAGACCAGAGCAGACCAGGTGTCTGGTGAGAGCTTATTTCCTGGTTCAGAGATGGCTCCTTTGTAGGTCTTCATATGTTATAAGGGACTGGGCAGCTCTTTCAGGCCTCTTTTTTTTTTAATATTTATTTTTTAGTGTAGTTGGACACAATAGCTTTATTTTTATGTGGTGCTGAGGATGGAACTTAGGGCCTACGGACATACTAGGCAAGCGTTCTACCACTGAACCACAACTCTAGCCCCTTTCAGGCCTCTTTTATAAGGATACTAATCCCATTTATGCAAGCTGTGCCCTCAAGACCTAATCACTTCCCAGAACCCTACTTCCTAATATCAACACATTGGTGACTAGGGCTCAACATACGAATTTTGAGGAAACAAACATTCAAACCATAATATTAATTGTGCACTGCCTACTTTATATTTTTCTCTGCTCATGACAAGTGTAGTGAAATATAGATCAGTTCAAAATTTATTAGCTGTTAGCAGTCTCTAGAGGAAAAGAATCAGCAGGATATGTGTGTGTGTGTGTGTGTGTGTGTGTGTGTGTGTGTGAGTGATTATAAAAAGGGATTTATTAGATTGGCTTACAAATGGAATCTAGTCCAACAGTGTCCTTATGCGAACCAGAGAGCTGGAGAAAGCAGTAGTAGCTCAGTCCAAGAACCTACAGCCTCAGTCTGAAACCAGAGGCCTGGGAACTTACCTGTATAATTGCTGGCCAGAATTCATCTTGAAAGAATGAAGAACTGGAGTCTAGTTTCCTCGGGCAATGGCAGTAACAAAGAATGCACCCTCTAAAGAAGAATCAAGCTTACAATTGCTACATGTGAACTGGCAGCTTGTTGGACAATGCTGCCTACATTCAGGGAGGATCTTCCCTCAATTTGCTGTCCCTCATGCCAAACATCTCTGGAAACACCCTCATACACRCTCCCAGAATTCTCTTAATCTTAGGCATCTTTCAGTCTGTTCCAGTTGACAATCCAGATCATCACATTAGCCCAGTGCTTTCTGGAGACATATCAAGTAGTCACAATTTATTTTCTTTATAATTTGCTGATCACTAATATTGATGTCAAAATCTAGGTGAGTTTACATTTTTTTTGTTTTGTAATTTGAAAACATTGGAGTAAAATAAAACTAAATTATATGGTTATCATCTTTATTACCAGACTCCTAACAGGCAAACATAAATAGTTGTTTACTGTCTCCTGTGACCTTATCCTCATCCTTTCCTTGTTTCCTAAGTAGATGGGAGCAGATTATGAAGATTATCAACTTCAGGGACAAGAAATGTGAACTTTTATGTATTTACAGTGGTAAATCACTGGATGTTACTGACTTGGGTGAGCAAACAAGTCATCCACCAGAAACTAATAAAATGTATTTTGTCAATTGGTGATGGTTGTCATTAAAGTAATAGAAAACTGAATTACGCTCCCTTACATTTAAACCCACATGTAGCCTGTTCCCTTATTTACTCCTTAAAGGGCCATGTGATTTGCTTTGGCCAAGGGGACATTGGCAAACAACACAACAGYTTAAAAGTACTTGCATATTTCATCCCTGAGAATGTCATGTGAAGAAGCCCATACTAACATCTTGGGGGATAAGAACACAGGCTGCAAAGACAAGTCACCTCAGCAGAGGTTCTACAGACCAAGCAGCCTCTAGGCTATGTACCAACAGGGTGCAGCTTTATTTTTTTATTTGGATACTGGCAATTGAACCCAGGAATATTTTCACCACTGAGCTACATCCCCACTCCTTTATTTATTTATTTATTTATTTATTTATTTTGGATGATACTGGGGATTGAACTCAGGACCTTGCACATGCTAGATAAGTGCTTGGCCACTGAGTTACATGCCTCACCACCAGTCTTTTTTTTTCTTAGTTTGAAAAAGGTTCTCATTAAATTGCTGAGGGTCTCACCAAGTTGCATATGCTGGCCTTGAACTTGAAACCCTCCTGCCTCAGCCTCCTGAATTGCTGGGATTATGGGTATGTGTCACTATACCTGGCTAGTTACAGCTTTATCAGTGACCCTGGACAAGAAGAGGAGAATTGCCCAGCTGACACTAACTCACACTGCGGGTCCATAAAATCATACAATGACTTTTATACAGGGTATGTATTATGCAATTGATCTGGAATATCCCCAAAGGCCCATGTGTTAAAGGCTTGTCACCAGTGTGGYGCTATTGGGAGGTGGTGGAACCTTAGAGGCGGTGAGCCTAGTGGAAAGAAGTTAGGCCATTTGCGGGGGGGGGGGTACCTTAAAGGTGATATTGGAATGCCAATATCTTCCTTTCTTTTGGTTACTGAGCATGAGTCAGGAAGCTTTTCTCTGCCACATACTTCCTACTACAATRTTCTGCCTTGCCACAGGCCTAAGAGCAAGGGGCCAAGTAACCAGACTAAAATAAACAGAAAGTTGACTTAACACTCTATTTCCTCAAATTTTAGATCAACATCTACATAAGTCAAAAATATCCTTCTTTGTGATCTACCCTTATTCTCTATCTGAATACCAGCTGATTTCATTTTCGGTACTCTTTGTGATTCTGTTTCTCTTTAGGGATTAATATAAAGACATTTCTGCCTAAAAGTTTACCAGTATGGATACTTTTACTAATATGGAAACTCASATATACTAATATGGAAACGCACTAAAATTATATGTGTGTGCATCCACACACACACACACAAATATATATTTTAAGAGTTACTTTTAGAGATTCAGTTTCCTATAAGCAATACTGCAGTATGTTTCCTTCCAGGTTTAGCAGTCTACTATTTGCTTTTATTGCATTTTGTGATTTTTCACTTTCCCTTTTTAAAGTCTGACAATAAATTTCTTCTCTCATATATTTTCCACAAATCACAATTTTTTGAGGTTATAAGAAAAAYATTAACTGACTTGTTATGGTCTTACAGTGAATTGGTGGAAGAAACTAGAATCTATATAGKTCTCTGAACTTGCATCAATGTCTTTATTCACAATTTCCCTAAAAGTGGCCAAGGACAAACATTGTGGTTTTCTCCCCAATCCTGTGACTACCTCTAAGGTGAGCCAAGGGACTTAAGGAGAAACAAACCAATAGGGAAGGTAAAGATGCATCACACATTTAGATAAAAATCAGGTGTTATCTACC